TTCTCGAATGACTAATGATGTTGAACATTTTCTCATATATTTACTTGCCAGTTGTATCTCTGAAGGGATATCTTAAAAGTCTGACTCAAAAGCTAAGTTATCTATTAGCCTCATTCCTATTGTTTCTTGCATTCCTGTTGCCCCTTTTGGTACCTCTGATTCTTCGTGTGCAATATAAAGTCGCGTGACATTACTTCTTTCCAAGCAATGGGAATCTATCTCCTCAGTCTCATAATAACACTGTCTTGTTATTTGCCTCCTGAGACATCCACTGTTGCTCCAGTGTGTGGTTTCCCTCATTGCAATCCGTCAAAAACCACCTGCGTGTGTTCAACTACACATTGATCACACTGAGAGTCTTCAATTAACTGGGCTGTGAGAAGAGCATTAATCTCCAATCTCCCGCCCTACACAGGATTCTGCAATGGATGATATATTTTTGACAGCTCAGTATTATCTTATGAACTTAGGTCACATAATCTGAGTTATAGGGGGATCATCATTGTTACAGAAATTAAAATACAGACATATTTTTTGCTAGATAAAAACGTTAATAGCCTTGTGTGGTGGTGCACACCTGCAATCTCAGCTCTTTGGAGGCTGAGACAGAGAATGCATTACAAATTTGAGTCTACCCTGGGCTGCAAGATGAACTCAGACCCACCCTGAACTGCTTAGTGAGACCCTGTCTTAAAAATACAAAAAGAACAATTAAATCTTAACGTAATTTGCACTGGCATCTTAACAAATTTTCATTTAATTGTTTCGCTATAATTGAAAAACAAGGGGGCTGGGGATTTAGCTCAGCGGCAAAGCGCCTGCCTGGCAAGCGCAAGGTCGTGAGTTCGGTTCCCGGTACCAGAGAAAAAACAAAAAGAAAAAAAAAAAACAAGCCATTCTAGAATTAATGACGTGTAGTTTCTTAATGGTTTACACATATTCAACCTGACAAAGAATAAAAAAGTATGAAAATGTTTAATGGAAAGAAACTCAACAATTTGGGGAAAAAAAGAGTAAAATACCAATGAAATTTTATGAATACTTATGTTTTATTTATATGGTAACAATTTGAAAAATATACAATAAGAATGTACTGGTGGGGTAAAATGTAGAGTATTTATATTTTATAATATATTATCCACATGAAAACAACTCATGAGGCATTAACAAGGCTTAATGTACATCTGAGGTAGTTCACATGTCAAAGAAAAGTCTCACTATGTGACATTAAATCAAAATGTAAAGTATAAATATCACATAATATCTCAGTATGTGAAGATGAAGAACAAAATCTGCAAATATTAATTGCTTTGTTCCATGGGAATGATTTTTAAGAGCTACATGTTGATTTATACTTTTAAACAGAAAGATATAGGTGAAATATTAAATTTACATGCTAAAATAAAAGGAATAAGAATTGGTAACTCATGGATTTACTTTCAAATGAAAACAAATTATGTGAAAATGAACGGGGCCAGTAATAGAAGACTGGTGCTTGGAAGCAGAGAAATCAGGAGCATCAGCACACACAATTTCTCAGAGTTTCCACCACAACAACTGTCATGTGATTCATTGCTCATCATCTCATTTATCCTCCCATTCATTCCTTTATTTGTTTAACAAATACGAAAGACATCCTAAAATATGCCAAGTACTGCAGGTACTTCAGCTAAAACAGTAATGATAACACGAAAAGTGTTTTTCTTCTTCAAACTTTGATTTACTTAGAATGTGGCAATGAACAGCAAAGAAGGCAGAAAAACACCTGTAATCCCAGCTACTCAGGAGGCTCAGGTAGGAGGATAGCAAGTTGGAGATAAGCCTGGGCAACTTAGTAAGATTCTGGGTCAAAACTAAAATAATGTGGGTGTGGTTATGCATGTACATAATCCCAGCTCTCTGAAGGCTGAGGCAGGAGGATCACTGTAAGTATGAGACCAGCATGGGTTACAAAGTGAGCTCAAGTCCAGCCTGGACTGCATAGGGAGGCCCTGTCTTAAAAGAGACAAAATACTAAAAATAAAAAAACTAAACTGAAAAGGCTAGAGAAATTCTTTAAAACTACAGTGTTTGCCTAGCATGAACTTAGCTTTGGGGCCAAACCCTAAATTAAAAAATAAATGAATTTTAAAGCATACAAAGAAGCCAAGCTACTATACAGCCATTTGTACAAAAAGGGTTATAGTTACTGCCACCACCACAAGCAGCATCAGCAGGAGCCTCTTACATAGAAAAAATAAATGTAAAAGAGCAGTAAGAGGCCAGCAGTGAACTATCCAGAGGAGTGAAATCCAAATAGGAGGATACACAGCTTAATTCTGTGTCAACGTGACTACATGATGTTGCCAGTGGTTTGATAAAACATCAGTCTAGGTGTGGTAATGAGAGTAATCTTAGAAGTCACTGCATTTAAATGAGCAGAATGAGTAAAACAGATGACACCTGTGATACAGGCTGGGGTCATCCAATCACTTCAGGTCCTAGGAAGAAAGACTGAAATCCTGAAGGAGGAAAAAGGATTCTTCCTGCAGACTCAACATAGAAAGTTTGTTCAGGTTTCCTTGGACTCCAGACTGTACAAACATCCCTGCCTTTGCTTCCAGCCTATTGCTCTGCCCTCCGAGTTTAATCCTTGCAGTTCTCCTGCATCGCCTCCCTGCCCCGCACTGCTCTCAGATCTCAGATCTGTTTCTGTGCACAACTCTAACACAGACCGACGCTCACAAAGTGTACTATTGAGACTATTTAATTGAGCAAAAATCTGAAAGAGGCAAGGGACTGAGTCATGCAGATATCTTGGTAAAGAAGTAGCAACGCAGAGGAAGCAGTACACACAGAGCGGCTGAGAAGGAAAGCTCATGGCAGGCAAGTATAAGGGATAAGTAGGGTACAGAGAGAGTAAAAAACAAGGCAAAAATCAACAGTTAGGAAATGAGGCTAAAGGTTAACAGCAAAATCAAGTAGGGCTTTTAAATCCTTGGAAAGTTTACTGCCCTTACACTGCAGTCCCACTGGGGCACCGTGACCAAAGATTTTGGAGTTTCTATTTCCATTTTGATAGTGTCTTCCTAAAATAACTAGAGCATGGGGGAGGGGAGGAGCAGGTAATACAAATGATCTCCAATTAGATAGTGCTAATGCTTGAACAATGTTTTGGTATAATAAACCCACTGAGTTATTCACTGCAAAGGGTGAATTTAAGATGTGCAAGTAATATCCCAATATTGCTGTTGCAATTAAATAAAATATATTTTTAAAAGAATGAAAATGTGTAATATGTAAAACTATACAGAGAAAAGCAGAGAGCCAGGTCAGAAGATCCTGAGTGATGTTGTGTTCAACAGGAAGACAAAAACTGAAGATAAACCTAAATAATTTGAAGAATAAAATCATCTTTAACTGTTAAGAGGGAAGCTGCACAGGAAGGAGTTGGGTGGTAAGAGAAGAAGTGTTGTTTGGAGCATATTAAGTTTAAGATATTTATTAGACATACAAGAAGATATGCTAAGCATAAAATAGAGTTATAACTCTACAACAAATTAGAAGTTAGATCTATAAGTGTACAAGAGTTTAAATATTGATGATTTGTAGTTATGAGGAAAAAAGACAATAAAATGATTACAAATAGAAAAGAGTAAAGGTTTCAGAATTCAACTCAGAAATTTTAGGTTAAAGAAATGAGGAAAACCTACCAAAGGAATCTCAATATTCATCAGAAAGAAAGCATAGGTGAAAGAAACTGTCAATGAGTCTTTGGCTGACCAGTATTGCATGTCTATATCTGTTTTCATGAGAAGCCACTTTGAAGATATCAATATGTAATACAACAAGCATTGTTAATTCCCTACCACTTTGTTTGTAATTCTGTATTGTCTGTACTGTGCTTGTGATATGTTGTAAAATGTTGTCTGTCTGTTAATGTTTCCCTCCTTTTATCTTTAAAATAAAAAAAAAGAAAGAAAGAAAGCATAGGAATACAAGGAGGGTGATAAGGAAACGCTTTCAAGAAAGTATAGCTGAATTGACAAAACACTGCCATTATATCAAATAAGATGAGGATGAATGTTGGTTCTTAATTTAGCATTGTGAAGATTATGATTTTATTTGAATGAAAAAATATATTTTTAAATGAAAAACATGGGTGATTTCAGAAAATGTCATTTAAACAGTCATTCCATTCCATCTTTGTTTCTATAGTTCTAGAAAGGTCAGCGCTGATACGCTTCTGGAATGAAGGGAAAGTATTCTTTCTGTTGATTATCTATGCATCACAATCAAGCTGGAATAAATATACATGTATTCCACAGGAGAACAAATAAAAATTATTCTGACCTACTTAGTGCAGTTTCAATGAGATGGTGCAGGTGAAATCCAAAGTGCAGGGAGACGGACGGAAAAAAAAGAACAGCAACTCAAGCTTGTTTTGCACTAATTAAAGAAGAGAAATGAAGTAGTACTCACAAGTGAATATGGTTTCAAGAGTTACTGTAAATTTTCCTTTTCTTTCCTATGCTCTTAAAGTGGATATAATGCTCTTATAATGTAAACAGGATAGATTAAAACCTTGAAGATGTGTAGAACCTAATTATAGAAGAAAATGTTCTACATTTAATGACACTAAAGTTGCTCAAAGCATAAAATATAAAGGAAAGATAGCTGGCTAATTCCCAAGGTAGGACATTGTCAGGGAGTCTTCAAATCCAAAGCTATGGCCCAAGATTATACAAGTGACCTTCACTAAGAGAGTTAGTGATGTGGTCTAATGTACTTCTGAATTGCATGGCCAAGAAAGTTAACTAGCTCCAAATGCAATAATATATAATGCCAGATTAGAGGTTTTGAAAAACATTAACCAAAGACCAGGATGCAATTGTTCTAGGCACATCATAACCTGGAGTTCATTGCATAGCTCCTATCTGCTGCCATATACTGACACTAAAGCTCACCTCATAGATGGAAGAAACAGTTGAGGAAAAAGGACCATCAGCTTCCAACATCTGTCATTTCTGTCCTCTACACAACACATGAACCACCTCGTGCCGGATCTGCTTGGTCTTGACTCCATAAATGATGGGATTCATCATAGGTGCAATCAGAATAGACACATTTGCCAGCAAGACATGGATATGGGGTGCAATGTGGTGTCCAAATCTCTGAGTGAGGGTTGTGAAGATGGCAGGACCATAGAAGAGAATGATGACACAGACATGGGAGCCACACGTATTCAGAGCTTTATGCCGAGCATCTTGGGATGGGATGCGGAACACAGCGCGGAGAATCAGCACATACGAAATGAAAATCAGCACAATATCTAAGACCAATGTTGACATTAGGACAAAAAATCCATACCAGATGTTGACTCGAATGTCATTACAGGAAACACGAGCCAAGACAATGTGTTTACAACCAGTGTTTGGGAGGACATTACTTTTGCAGAAAGTCAATCTTTTCAATAAAAATATGATGGGGAGTATTGTGCCATAACTTCTCAGAAAGATGATCGCTCCAATCTTTCCAATCAGGGAGTGTGTAAGAATACTGGTGTACCTCAGAGGGTAGCAAATGGCAAGGTAGCGATCAAATGCCATCATCAGCAGGATCCCTGACTCAGAGATGAATGTAGAATATATGAAGAAGATCTGAGTGACACAACGATCCAGGGAGATCTGCCCAGCATTGAACCAGAAGATGGCCAACATCTGAGGAATGGTTGAAGTGGATAAGACAATGTCTGCTCCTGCCAGCATGCAGAGGAAGAGGTACATGGGTCCATGGAGACTCTGCTTTGTGAAGATAATGAAGATGAGCAGGCTGTTCCCAAGCAGAGCAATGACGTAGGAAATGAGGAAGGGGATGGAAATCCATATGTGCTGGTCCTCCAGGCCAGGGATGCCCAGCAAGTGGAAGACGGTGTGGCTGACACTTGTGTGGTTAGAAGCACTCATATCTAAAACACAAAAATCCTCAGAAATCCTCATATCTTAGTCATATGGATGAGTAACTATTACACTCAAAGACTTTCATTTATGCTACAAAAGGGTTTTCATTTAAAAAAATGATTCTATCCCATTCTAAGGATGCCAGGAACTCTGGTGTATAAAGATAAAATGATATGCCTTGTTTTCTGAATAAGTATTAATCTCCTAAGTAAGATTTACATGACTGTAACTAATGAATTTTAAATGATTAAGCTGACACATCAGTGATACCAAAAAATTTTGCCATGGAAGCTCAATAGAAAGAGTAACTTTTACTGTTCCTGTTTGTAATGACATAAGAATGAATGCATATCCAAATAATGCAGACACGGAGAAATAAATAGTGCTTCATCTCTTCTGCATGTGGAATCTAGAAAAATTTTACCAATCACATGGAAAGCAGAATGGTGGTATTCAGGGGTTGGGCTCTAAGAGGGCACTCAGAAATTTTGGTCAAAGAGTACACAGGCCTGTGATCCTTCCCACAATCTACCACACTGAAAGTAAAACATCATTCTTCAATAATGACAGACGTTGCAAAGGAGGGATAAAGGATCAGGAGAACAGACAGAAATGAGCATGTTGCCATATGTCAAATGCTTATAACCATCAGTATCTGGTGTCAACCTCAAACCTTCTTTGGACGCCCCTGGGCTCCCTGCACAATGAGAGCTACACAAGATCCTCATGTCCTGGGTGTCTCTATTTTTCCCTCCCACACTGTCTATTCTTCTGAGACGGTCCCTGCTTGTGACTCTGGACCAGTGATGTATTGATATGAGAATACACAAAGGAAGAGAAAATGGAAGAGGAAAGGCAGGAGGGAAGGAGACAAGAGGGGAGAAGAGGGAAAGGAAGGAGAGGAGGAGAAGTAGTAGTGGTGGTAGTGGAGTGGAGGTGAAGAAAATTTCATGGTGTTTAACAAGGATCTAGGGAGAAATATCTCTGTCTTCATCACTTCCAAATCATCAGCATAAGGTTCCTCTCTGCAGAGTTGGAAGGAATATGCACAACTGATCCTCAGGAAGTGATGTGAGCTGGCTCCAGCACACTACTGCTCTGGGCACTCCCATTCCACCCTCTTCGCTCCAGGCAATGGTCTGAGTGTTTTCTATCATCTAACTTATGCCCTGTAATTCCTGCCTCCCACAACTCCTATCTTCCCCTAGAAATGTCATTCCACACTAGTAACAGCCTCCCTCACCTTTCTCAACGGGAGAGTTCATGGGCTAGGATGGGATGAGTCACAGGAGGACTGGGCAATCAGCAGCAGGGACCAGACATTTTATGCCTTTGCCTAATGGCAGCAGAGTGCACCAGTACACCAGGGATCGCACACCTAATGCACAGGAGGAAGTCGTCACACTTCTCCAATCTTGCCCACACCTCCCTTCCCCTACAGTTACTTCCCTGGGTCACATATGTGCGTGATTCTTTTCAAATCACACCAAGTCTTCATTGCTTTGTGAAAAGTTTCATTTTCATTTTGCATGGAAATTAGTAAATATTAACCTCACAATGAAACAATAGAACTTGAAAATCAATGCTATCGCTTTTAAGATTTTAATTTTTAAATCAGTTTATAAAAATAGTTACATACTACATAGATACCATAGACGCTGTTGTCCTTTTTAACATTTTATAATAGTATCATATGATACATTTGTTATGCTGTACTTAATGAACCAATACCAATATAACACTATTAACTTTCACAGTGTATTTATTTTTCTGTAGTTTTTTATCTCTGTCCTTCTATTCCAGAATCCCAGTACGAATACCATAATACACTTAGTAATCACATCTGTTTAAGCTGCTGTTTGTCGGACTTCTCATCCAACTCTGTCCAGGGTGTACAGGTCCCCCGAACTAGGTGCCCATGGATGAATAAGAAAAGTAAAGGAAAAAGAGAGACAAAATTCTGAGATCAGGGGACTTACAGCTTCTCAAACTGCTGTCCCCAATACCAAAATTCAGACACCTTTTGTTGAGCAACAACCAAGGATGTAGCTAGGACAAATGGGTGAATACCAAACATTCCAGCAAAGATAATTAAGGGATCACCCAAGACACACCTACAAATCCGGCACCCAAGAGGCTGAGACAGGAAGATCATAAACTTAAGGTTAAACAAATCTTTGTGTCCTCAGTACATTCTAATCAAAGAATGTCCTTCTCCACAGCTGTTTCTAAAAGTTTCTCATGCTTTCCTTTTTTTGAGATATTGGCTGTTTTAATTAGTATTTTTCATTATTTTTGTGAGAGGCTAGGTGTGGTGGTGTACATCTATAATCCCAGAACTTGGGATGCTGAGGCAGGGGGATGCTTCGAGTTTGAAGTCAGCCTGGGCTACAAAGTGAGTTAAAGCCAGCCTGAACTGCATAGCTAGACCTTGTCTCAAAAAGACAATAATAATCATAATAATTTTATAAATTAAGAAAAATAGAATGACCTTCTCAGGATCTCAAGAAAAAAGACACACCTGGCACCAAAAACATTAACCTTGAGCAGAAAAATGGATTGTGAGAATTCAACAAAACTTGAAATTGTTGTACTGTGAAAAGCAACGCTAATGGACTAAACTCACAAGCTACAGTCCTGGGAAATATATGTGCAAACCACATATCTGACAAGGACCTTATGTCTAGGATACATAAATTCAACCAACAGCATTGCCAGCAAGATCCCAGAGACAAAGACGAAGGAGGGATGAAGGAAAACAGCTGAGTGACTTAGGGGTCCATGGAGAGCTCATGGAACCAGAAGCTGGCAAGGCCTGAGGCACTGTGGCCATGGAAAGGACAACATCTGCTATCGGCAGCACAGAGAGAAAGAGGTCCTCGGACATTGTGCTTCATGAGGACAGTGAACAGAGGCAGAATGTTCACAAGCAGAACGACGATATAGGAAACGAAGACAGAGACAGAAATCCACATGGCTAAACCCAATACAAAAATGGACATCTGAGATGAATACACACTTCACATAAAGAAACACAAATGGTAAATAAATACATGAAAAAATGTTCAACGTCATTAATCATTTGAGAAATGCAAATTAAAACAACACTGAGATTCCATCTC